TATTGGTTTTTTTTTTTCAGCGATGGTCACACACCAGTGGAGCTGCCGCTTTTGCAGAGCGCAGAAAGCACTTTGAAGCGAAGCGTAAAAACAAGTCACTGCAAAAATCTTTCCATAAGGCTGCCAAAGCCTGCAGGTGGGGAAAAAAAGGAAATAATTAAAAATAAAAATAACACCATAGAAATAAAAAAAAGAAATAAATAAAAATAAAAATAAAAATAAATCAAATAATTAAAATTATAATAAAACCAAAAATTAAAATTAATATTAAAATTAAAAGCAGTGTTTTTCCTGCTGAAACCTTTGAAACTCTAAGAAATCCCATCCAAGGGGTCTTTAGTCAGGTTTTTTAGTCAGCAGGTGTTTAGTCTGCTGTTTAGGTTTTTTTTCTCTTTTTTTTTTCTAATTTTCCTTCTTTTTTTTTTTTTTTTTGGGTTTTTTTCATGATTTCCACCCTGGACTCAAGCCCAGTTCTCTACAGTTCACCCACAGGGCTCCCAGCACCTCCCACTTCTCCTGAAGGAGCCCAGTTGCTCCCAAACCTCAGAAAAATAATAGATAAACGGAAAAAATAAAATAGAAGTGAGCGAGCCAGGCAAGTGGGCAGACTGGGAGAGATCTGGGTGAGGGAACCAGGACCTCAAATGGACAACTGGAAAAGAGAAAGCTGGATAAAAGCTGGAAAACTGGATTTATTCTTTTTTTTTTTATAATTTTATATTTTCATAAATGTGTATATTTATGTGGTGGTTTAGGCTGAACTGGCCCATGACGGTGACAGATGCTCTGCCCCCATCTCTCGCTCCCAGGAGAGGAGGAGGAGGAGGAGAGAAAGATATTTATGAGTTGAGCAGGAACTAAACTGCTTTCATGGAATATCAAGAATAAAATAAAAACGAAAATAATGAAATAGATACAATCTGTACAAAACTGTATCAAGTTCCCAGGATGACATCACCAGCACAGAACTGGGGAAGTCCCAGGCTGGGACTGGATTCGGGCTCTGGGGTCAGGAAGGCACGGATCGGGACCAAAGGCAGATCAAGGAGGTCCACCAAAGGAGGACCAGACAGGGTCCTCCTCGGACGCCGGCCACTGGAGAAAGAGCTGACCCTTTGGTCCCTCAGCTTTTATAGTGAGCGTGGGGCAGATGGGATGGAACTACCCCCTTGATCAGTTTGGGGTTCCCCCTCCTGTCCCCCCCCATCCCAGGCTGAGGCCTAGCAGAGGAATAAAATTACTAAATGGAAAGTTGGTTCTGCTTTACCTAAAACTGGGACAGGGGCTCTCCCTGGTCCCCCTCCCCACATCTGGTTATGACCCCAGGATCCCTCCTGGAGCTGGATATGCCCCCCACCCCAGTACCCCCCCTTTGCTATGGGTACAGCCCCCCCTGAACCCTCCTGCATCTCTTACTTTAGGCATGGGCTCCCCATGCATAAGGTGGGACAGTGGGGACAGCAGGGGACACGTCCTTCTCAGGGATGCGAGGTTCCCAAGATGACAGTGCGCTACTGGGGTGTCCCGAAACTCAAAACCCCCCCCAAACCCTTCTTGTCCCCTCATTCCTGGCTCCTCACAAGCTCCCAGCTGTTGAAGGGCTTCAGGGACACTGCTCGGCTCCTCCGCCATGTCCAAAAATCACAACAAAGCTCTAAATTAACCTTAATTTCGCACCCAAATGCATATATTTCTCCTTCCTCTACTTTTGTCCCATTTTCTGCTCCTTAAATGTGTTCAAGTGCCGGGGGGTGGAGTTTGAAGTCAGCCCAAAAAATCCCTTGGCGCTGCATCCGGAAAGGGAGGCTGTTTGTGAGACTGTGATGCTCTGCCCCCATCTCTCGCTCCCAGGAGAGGAGGAGGAGGAGGAGAGAAAGATATTTATGAGTTGAGCAGGAACTAAACTGCTTTCATGGAATATCAAGAATAAAATAAAAACGAAAATAATGAAATAGATACAATCTGTACAAAACTGTATCAAGTTCCCAGGATGACATCACCAGCACAGAACTGGGGAAGTCCCAGGCTGGGACTGGATTCGGGCTCTGGGGTCAGGAAGGCACGGATCGGGACCAAAGGCAGATCAAGGAGATCCACCAAAGGAGGACCAGACAGGGTCCTCCTCGGACGCCGGCCACTGGAGAAAGAGCTGACCCTTTGGTCCCTCAGCTTTTATAGTGAGCGTGGGGCAGATGGGATGGAACTACCCCCTTGATCAGTTTGGGGTTCCCCCTCCTGTCCCCCCCCATCCCAGGCTGAGGCCTAGCAGAGGAATAAAATTACTAAATGGAAAGTTGGTTCTGCTTTACCTAAAACTGGGACAGGGGCTCTCCCTGGTCCCCCTCCCCACATCTGGTTATGACCCCAGGATCCCTCCTGGAGCTGGATATGCCCCCCACCCCAGTACCCCCCCTTTGCTATGGGTACAGCCCCCCCTGAACCCTCCTGCATCTCTTACTTTAGGCATGGGCTCCCCATGCATAAGGTGGGACAGTGGGGACAGCAGGGGACACGTCCTTCTCAGGGATGCGAGGTTCCCAAGATGACAGTGCGCTACTGGGGTGTCCCGAAACTCAAAACCCCCCCCAAACCCTTCTTGTCCCCTCATTCCTGGCTCCTCACAAGCTCCCAGCTGTTGAAGGGCTTCAGGGACACTGCTCGGCTCCTCCGCCATGTCCAAAAATCACAACAAAGCTTTAAATTAACCTTAATTTCGCACCCAAATGCATATATTTCTCCTTCCTCTACTTTTGTCCCATTTTCTGCTCCTTAAATGTGTTCAAGTGCCGGGGGGTGGAGTTTGAAGTCAGCCCAAAAAATCCCTTGGCGCTGCATCCGGAAAGAGAGGCTGTTTGTGAGACTGTGGGTGTATCCTGTCGGCTGCTTCCTCTGGCAGCTGGTAGGGGCCCAGGGAGTGAATTTCCTTTCTGTGAGGAACGCAGAAGACTTCGTTTCACTTAAAATCTTGTAAGGGATTTAGAGTAAATCCTGGGGAGGGCAGTGGGGCAGAGCAGGAGCTGCATTGGGAGCTACGCATGGATCCCCTCCTGCCCTCGACCAAGGGTTCCTTCTGACGTCAGGGTGCAGGTGATTTGGTGGGATTTCTTGAACCACACTAGGGGCAGGTGCAACCCCTCTTCCCCATCCCCTCCACGGTGGCTGTAACCCCCCCTTGCCCTCCCTCTGCCTCCCTTCCCACCCTCTTCTCCAGCTCTGGACGCAGATGGGGTTCCCCAGGAGCCCATGGGGCCTCCTCAGATATTTCCTGACTCTCCACCTCCTCCGGCTGGGATCAGGTAGGGATCCTGCAGGGCTGGGGGGGCTGAGCGTGCTCTGGGGGCAGATGTGGGTCAGGGGAGGTGCTGTGGGGCAGGAGGAACTGAGCCCAGAGCTCGGCCATGCATGGCTTTCACTTTCACTTAGGCTTGTGATGCCACACATCCGTTGCTCTGGGACATCTTCAGTCCCACCCCACGGTGCTCCCCCAAAGCTTTTGTCCTTCTACTGGGGCTGGCTGGGGAGGGGATCATTTTTGGGGTGGCGGCCATGGTTTCCTGGAGCAAGAGGATTGCACCACCGTGAATGTGGGTGCAATCTCCATCTCTCTGTGTCCTTCTCCATCATCAAGCGGAGTTCAGAGTGGTGGGACCAGGCCAACCTCTCCTTGTCACCGTGGGACAGGACATCGTGCTGCCATGTCACTTGTCCCCAGGCGTGGACGCTCGGAGCTTGGAGATCAGGTGGATCCGGCACCAGCTCTCTGAAACGGTGCACCTCTACCGAAACGGAGAGGATCTGGACGGGGCACAGATGGAGGAATACATTGGAAGGACAGAGTTGGCCAGAGATGGTCTCTCCAATGGGAGCCTGGACTTGCGAATCTCTGGGTTGAGACCCTCTGATGATGGCCAGTACGTCTGCACTGTGCTAGATGCTGCCTCTTATGGAGAAGCTATAGTGGACCTGGAGGTGGCAGGTTTGTGCTATGGTATTTCCTGGGGATGGTGCCAGTGTCCCTGGGTTGGTGCGACCCTCCCAGAGCTCTGTCCTGTCCTTATGTCCATCCATTCAGTGCCAAAGGCCAAGAGCTGTTGAGAGTTGGGGGATGAGGGGTCTCTTCCCATCTGGGCCTGCCCAGGAGGCAGTATGCCCATGGTGCTGGAGGTGTTCCTGGGGACAGATCAGCACGGACACGGTCCCTTTGGGTCTCTGTGGTGTCCTCATGATGTTGTGAGGGCTCTGGGCACAAGCTGCTGAGCAGCTCCTTAGGCTCAGAGCGTGGGCTGCCAATGGAGCCAAGGATGGGACCTACGGCTGTATCTGGAGTAGGGAAGGGACCTATTCCCAGGTGCCACCATCTGGATCCTTGTTTTCAATTTGCTGGTTGTGCTGTAGGAGACCTAGCCCATTGTCTGGAAGCCTCAGGGCTTCTTGAATAAGATGGATGGGAGCAGCAATGCTGCCTTGTGGTGCCGAAGGTCAGCTGCTAGGTATTCCACTACCAGGCTGTTTTATGGGAGATCTGGGGTCATGTGACATCAGTGCTCTCTGGTTCCTGCAGACTTTGGGGTGGGTTTGGTGGTGTGAGGAGCACGTGCCCAGCCCCATAGCCCCCTGGGCACCCTGGGATGTGTCTGGCCTGGGGTTCAGTATTGGCCGTTGATCTGGGTCCATCCCTAAGTCAGGGATTTCCCATGCTCTTCCTCCAGCCTTGGGCTCTGTCCCTCTCCTCTCTCTGGAGGCTTACAAGGATGGAGGCATCCGGGTGGTGTGTCGATCGGCCGGCTGGTACCCATCACCAGAGGTGCTGTGGAAGGATGGCAGTGGGCAGCATCTCCCCTCAGTCTTCCAGAGTCGTTCCCCTGACGAGAGGGGCCTATTTGAGATCCATGATGTCACCGTTGTGAGCGGGAAGGGAGATGGGAACGTGTCGTGCGTGGTGAGGAACAGCCGCCTGGAGCAGCAGCAGGCGTCGTCCCTGCACATCTCAGGTGCAGGATGGGAGCAGGGCTGGGGTTGGTCGTGCTGCTTGGGGGGGTTTGATCTTGGGGGGCTGGAGAAACATGTTGGGGAAGGGGAGGTGGATGCACCCGCAGGTGAGTTTTAAGATAACATGATCCTGGTGTGCTTCAGGGGAGCATTGGGGTGTCCATGAAATGGGGAGGAGGATGTCTCCTTGAGCCCAGGGCTCCCACAAGGCTTGAGGAGATGGAACTTTGTGGTTGTTTTGGTATTTTTTGAGCCCAGGGCTCCCAGCACAAAGCTTGAGGAGATGGAACTTTGGGGTTGTTTTGGTATTTTTTTTTCTTCTCCTCACACAGGGGAGTGTAAAATGAGGCCTTTTCTGGATGTTTTTTTGTTTCTCAGCTCCCTTTTTCCACAATGCCCGTCCCTGGATGGCAGCTCTGGGTGTGTTCCTCCTGCTTTCAGTGGTGTCCGCTGCCCTCAGTGCTTACCTCTTCCGAAGGAAAGGTGAGTTTGCATCACCACAATATTTTGCCTTTATTAAGGAAGCTCTTTGGGCAGAGGAAGGCTGGGGACAAGGACACAGCGTGTGGGTGGGAGTACAGGGAGCATGGCCAGAGCATCTGGCTGGTGGGAAGGTCCAAGAGACCCTGGTGAGATGGTCCCAGTGACAAAGCAGCCGCTCTCCTGACCTCTTCTTCCTCTGCTTTTGCTTTCCAGTGGTGCAGTCCAGAGCGCTGGGTGAGTCCTTCTGGCCCCTGCCACCAGCAAAGCCTCCTGAGAAAGGAGCCCCCGGGGAGGGACGTGGCTTTGGGTGGCTCTTGATGTTTCTCTGGTCACTGATGTGGGTTGATGGAGCCCAGAAGGGGACTGGAGAGCCCTGGGGTTGGGAACTGGGCACGGGAGGTGTCCTGGCTCTTGGGAAGAAATGGGAACCAGGATTGAGTGAGCTTAAATGAGCTTAAATGAGGCTGAGCCTTAAATCTCTGCTTAAGTCAGGCTTAACTGCAGAGTGCCTGGGTGGGCTGGGTGGGAAAGGAGACAGGGACCCCTCCCCAAGAGCCAGGGGTTCTTTTCCCACTCTCCAAACAGAAGGAATTTGGGCTCAGCCTGGTTTCTGCCCGCTCGAGCCATGGGATGAGAAGCTGTCCCCTCTGATCACTCATTGCTTTATTTTTTCCTTTCCAGAGGAACAAGCTGCACTGCTGGGTGAGTCTCCATAGCTCCTCCTGGCTTGGTGTCCTCTCCCAGGCGCTCTGTGCTCGGCCCCTTCCCCCCTTGCTTGTCCTCTCCATCCCTGCATCCCCTTGGTATGGGGAATCCCCGAGGGGATGTGCCTGGGAGGATGTGCTGTTTGGGGACATGAGAGCAGGGGTGGACCTCTTCCCTTCTTCTCTTCCATCGGTTCCAAATGTTGGATGTGACAAGTCTGGCAGAGAGCCATTCGCAGGGTTGGAAGGTCTTTTTCCACTCCCCAAACAGAAGGAGTTTGGGCTCTGCCCACTCCTGCAGGAGCAGCCATGGGGTGAGAAGCTGTCCCCTCTCATCACTCATTGCTTCTGTTTTTCCTTTCCAGGGAAACGAGATGCAGCACTGGGTGAGTCCCTGTGAGCTCTGTCAAGGCTTGTTGTCCTCTCCCAGGTGCTCTGTGCCTGGTCCTTTCCCCCCTTGTCCATTCTCTCCATCCCTGTGTCCCCTGGGTCCGGGCGAATCCTTAGGGAATGTGCCTGGGATGGTAGACAGCTCGGGGACACCAGAGCAGGGATGGAGCCCCTCCCCTGCCCAGAGTTCCTGGGCACCAGCCATGGGACATGACCAGGCTGGAGGAACCCATCCCTGGGACCCAAGGGGTCTTTTCCCACTTCCCAAAAAAGAGGAGTTTGGGGTTTTCCCCAACTCTGCTTACTCTTTTTTGGGCACTTATGGGATAAGAAGCTGTCCTCTCTGACTAAGTATTGCTTTTCCTTTCCAGAGGAACAAGCTACACTGTTGGGTGAGTCTCCGTGATCTCCTTCTGGCTCGATGTCCTCTCCCAGGTGCTCTGGTCTTGGCCCTTTCCCCCATTGCTCACCCTCTCTGTCCCTGCATCCTGGGAGCTTTATAATCTTTTCCCACTCTCCAAACAGAAGGAGTTTGGGCTCAGCCTGGGCTCTTCTGCTCCTTGAGAAACAGCTGTGGGACAAGAAGCTTACCCCCAATGATGAATTGTGTTTTCTTTTTTTTTTTTCCTTTCCAGAGGAACGTGCTGTAGCACTGGGTAAGTCTCTGTGAGCTACTTCTGGCTCAGTGTCCTCTCCCAGGTGCTCTGGTCTTGGCTCTTTCCCACCTTGCACATCCTACCCATCCCTGCATCCCCTGGGTTTGGTGAAACCCCGAGGGGCTGTGCCTGGAAGGGTGGGCAGCTCGGGACACCAGACTGGGGATGGACTCTCTCCCTTGCCTAGAGTCCTTAGGGACCTGTGGTGAGGTGTGGCCAGGCTGAAGAGAGTTCTCCCTGAGAGCCAGGGGCTCTTTTCCCACTCCCCAGACAGGAAGAGTTTGGAGCTTTCCCAGCTCTGCTTATCCTTCTTGAGCACTTATGGGGTGAGAAGCTGTCCTCTCTGACCAAATATTGCTTTTGCTTTCCAGATAAAAAGGTTGCACTGTTTGGTGAGTCTCCATCAGCTCCATCATGGCTTGTTGTCCTCTCCTGGGTGCTTTGTGCTCGTCCCCTTCCCCCCCTTGCTCATCCTCTCCAACCCTGAATCTGCTGGGTGGAGGCAAACCCCGAGGGGACGTGCCTGGGACTGTGTTCAGCTTAGGGACACCAGTCCAGGGATGGCCCCTTTCCCATGCTTGAAGTCCCTGGCTACCAGCCATGGGACATGACCAGGCTGGAGGGAGCCACTCACAGGGTTGGGGACCTGTTCCCACACCCCAAACACAAGGAGTTTGGGATCTGCCCAAGCTCTGCCTGTTCCTGTAGGAGCAGCCATGGGGTTAAAAGCTGTTCCCTCTGATCACTCAGTGCTTCTGTTTTTCCTTTCCAGAGAATCGAGCTACAGCACTGGGTGAGTCTCCGTGAGCTCCTCCTGGCCCGGTGTCCTCTCCTGGACGCTTTGTGTTTGGCCCCTTCCCTCCTTGCCCATCCCCTCCATCACTGCATCCCCTGGGTCTGGGCAAACCCCAAGGATTGTGCCTGAGAGGGTGGGCAGCTTGGGGACAGCAGCCCAGGGATGGCCCCTCTGCCATGCCTAGAGTCCCTGGCCGCCAGCCACGGGACATGACCAGACTGGAGGGCACCATTCACAGGATTTGGGGGTGTTTTCCCACACCCCAAACAGAAGGAATTTGGGATCTGCCCAATCTCTGCCCACTCCTGCAGGAGCAGCCCTGGGGTGAGAAGCTGTCCCCTCTCATCACTCATTGCTTCTGTTTTTCCTTTCCAGAGCAACGAGCTGAAGAACTGAGTGAGTCTCCGTGAGCTTCTCCTGGCTTGGTGTCCTCTCCTGGATGCTTTGTTCTCAGCCCTTTTCCCCCCGTTTCCTGTCCTCTCCTCCCTCTGATCACTCACGGCTTCTGTTTTTCCTTTCCAGAGAATCGAGCTACAGCACTGGGTGAGTCTCCATGAGCTCCTCCTGGCCCTATGTCCTCTCCTGGACGCTTTGTGTTTGGCCCCTTCCCTCCTTGCCCATCCCCTCCATCACTGCATCCCCTGGGTCTGGGCAAACCCCAAGGATTGTGCCTGAGAGGGTGGGCAGCGTGGGGACAACAGCCCAGGGATGGCCCCTCTGCCATGCCTAGAGTCCCTGGCCACCAGCCGTGGGACTTGACCAGACTGGAGGGCACCATTCACAGGATTTGGGGGTCTTTTCCCACACCCCAAACAGAAGGAATTTGGGATCTGCCCAATCTCTGCCCACTCCTGCAGGTGAGGGGACGTGCCTGGGACTGTGTTCAGCTTAGGGACACCAGTCCAGGGATGGCCCCTTTCCCATGCTTGAAGTCCCTGGCTACCAGCCATGGGACATGACCAGGCTGGAGGGAGCCACTCACAGGGTTGGGGACCTGTTTCCACACCCCAAACACAAGGAGTTTGGGATCTGCCCAAGCTCTGCCTGTTCCTGTAGGAGCAGCCATGGGGTTAAAAGCTGTTCCCTCTGATCACTCAGTGCTTCTGTTTTTCCTTTCCAGAGAATCGAGCTACAGCACTGGGTGAGTCTCCGTGAGCTCCTCCTGGCCCGGTGTCCTCTCCTGGACGCTTTGTGTTTGGCCCCTTCCCTCCTTGCCCATCCCCTCCATCACTGCATCCCCTGGGTCTGGGCAAACCCCAAGGATTGTGCCTGAGAGGGTGGGCAGCTTGGGGACAGCAGCCCAGGGATGGCCCCTCTGCCATGCCTAGAGTCCCTGGCCGCCAGCCACGGGACATGACCAGACTGGAGGGCACCATTCACAGGATTTGGGGGTGTTTTCCCACACCCCAAACAGAAGGAATTTGGGATCTGCCCAATCTCTGCCCACTCCTGCAGGAGCAGCCCTGGGGTGAGAAGCTGTCCCCTCTCATCACTCATTGCTTCTGTTTTTCCTTTCCAGAGCAACGAGCTGAAGAACTGAGTGAGTCTCCGTGAGCTTCTCCTGGCTTGGTGTCCTCTCCTGGATGCTTTGTTCTCAGCCCTTTTCCCCCCGTTTCCTGTCCTCTCCATCCTTGCATCCCTTAGGTCTGGGCATACCCCGAGGGGCATATGCCTGGGAGGGTCCACAGCTTGGGCACAACAGCACAGGGATGGCCCACCTCCCCTTCCCCTCTCCTTGTGCACCAGCCTTGGGATGGATCCAGGCTCACAGGGAACCATTCCCGTGGTTTGTGGGTGTTTTCTCATTCCCCAAACAGAAGGAGTTTGAGCTCTTGATAAGCTCTTTCCACTCCTGCAGGAGAGTTGTGAGATGAGAATCTGTCCCATCTCATCAAACATTGATTTTTTTCTTTTCCTTTACAGAGAAACGAGCTGCAGCACTGGGTGAGTCTCTTTGAGCTCCAGGATGGCTCAGTGACCTCTCGTGGGCACTTTGTGGTCAGCCATTTCCCCTTTGCCCGTCCTCTCCAACCCTGAATTGCTGGGTCTGGGCAAACTCCAAGGGTTTGTGCCTGGGAGGGTGAACTGGTCTGGGACAAGAACCCAGGGATGGACCCTCTCCCATGCCTAGAGTCCCTGGCCACCAGCCACGGGATGTGGCCAGACTGGAGGGATCAATTCACAGGGTCTGGGGGTCTCTTCTCACAGCCCAGACAGTAGGATTTTGGGATCTTCCCTAGCTCTGCCCACTGCAGCAGCAGCAGCCATGGGGTGAGAAGCTGTCCCCTCTCATCACTCACTGATTTTGACTTTTCCTTTCCAGAGGACCGAGACACAGCACTGGGTGAGTCTCCGTGAGCTCCTCCTGGCTCGGTGTCCTCTCCTGGATGCTTGGTGCTTGGCCTTTTCCCCTCATTGCCTGTCATCTCCATCCCTGCATCCCCTGAATCTGGCAAACCCTGAGGGGATGTGCCTGAGAGGCTGTGCAACTTGGGGACACCAGATGAGGCATGGCACATCTCCAATTTCCTTCTTGTGCACCAGCCTTGGGATGGATCCAGGCTCACAGGGAACCATTCCTGTGGTTTGCGGGTGTTTTCCCACTACCCAAACAGAAGGAGTTTGAGCTCTGGATGAGCTCGTTCCACTCCTGCAGGAGAGTTGTGAGATGAGAATCAGTCCCCTCTGATCAAACATTGATTTTGACTTTTCCTTTCCAGAGAACCGAGATACAGCACTGGGTGAGTCTCCATGAGCTTCAGGACAGCTCAGTGTCCTCTCCCAGGAGCTCTGTGCTCAGCCCTTTCCTCCTTGCCTGTCCTCTCCATCCCTGCATTCCCTGGGTTCAGGCAAACACGGAGGGGATGTGCCTGGGAGGGTGGTCAGTTTGGGGACACCAGCCCAGGGGTGGACCCTCTCCCATGACCTGAGTCCCTTGGGAGTGGCCATGGGATTTGTCTAAGCTGCAGGGAGTTAGAGGGTCTTTTCCAACTCCCCAAACAGAAGGAGTTTGGGCTCTGCCTGAACTCTGCCTGCTCCTGCAGGAGCAGCCATGGGGTGAGGATCTATCCTCCCTGATCACTCATTGCCTCTGTTTTTCCTTTCCAGAGAATCGAGCTACAGCACTGGGTAAGATCCTCTTGGCTCAGTGTCCTCTTCTGGGCACTCTGTGCTTGGCCTCTTCCCCGCCTTGCCTGTCCTCTCCATCCCTGCATCCCCTGGGTGCAGGCAAACCCCGAGGGGATGTGCCAGGGAGGGTGATTTGGTCGGGGGCTACAGCCCAGGGATGGCCCCTCTGCCATGCCTAGAGTCCCTGGCTACCAACCATGGGATGTGACCAGGCTGGAGAGAGCCACTCACAGGGTTGGGGACCTGTTCCCCCCCCTAAACAGAAGGAATTTGGGATCTGCCCAATCTCTGCCCACTCCTGCAGGAGCATCCATGGCATTAGCAGCTGTCCCCTCTCATCACTCACTGCTTCTGTTTTTCCTTTTCAGAGATTCGAGCTACAGCACTAGGTGAGTCTCCGTGAGCTCCTCCTGGCCCGATGTCCTCTCCTGGACACTTTGGCTTGGCCCTTTCCCCCTTGCCCATCCCCTCCATCACTGCATCCCCTGGGTCCGGGCAAACCCCAAGGGGTTTTGCCTGAGGGGGTGGGCAGCTTGGGGACAACAGGAGTTTGGGATCTTCCCTAGCTCTGCCCACTCCTGCAGGAGCAGCCATGGCGTTAGAAGCTGTCCCCTCTCATCACTCACTGATTGTTTTTTCTTTCCAGAGCAACGAGCTGAAGAACTGAGTGAGTCTCCGTGAGCTCCTCCTGGCTCAGTGTCCTCTCCTGGACGCTTGGTGCTCGTCCCTTTCCCCTCATTGCATGTCCTCTCCATCCCTGCATCCCCTGGCAAAGCCTGAGGGGATGTGCCTGGGAGGCTGTGCAACTTGGGGACACCAGATGAGGGACGGCCCATCTCCAATTTCCTTCTCCTTGCCCACCAGCCTTGGGATGGATCCAGGCTCACAGGGAACCATTCCTGTGGTTTGCATGTGTTTTCTCACTCCCCAAACAGAAGGAGTTTGAGCTCTGGATGAGCTCTTTTGACTCCTGCAGGAGAGTTGTGAGATGAGAATCAGTCCCCTCTGATCAAACACTGATTTTTTCTTTTCCTTTACAGAGAAACGAGACACAGCACTGGGTGAGTCTCTTTGAGCTCCAGGATGGCTCAGTGACCTCTCGTGGGTGCTTTGTGGGCGGCCGTTTCCCCTTTGCCTTTACTCTCCATCCCTGAATCGCTGGGTCTGGGCAAACCCAAGGGTCTGGGCAAATCCAAGGGTTTGTGCCTGGGAGGGTGAACTGGTCTGGGACAAGAACCCAGGGATGGACCCTCTCCCATGCCTAGAGTCCCTGGCCACCAGCCATGGGATGTGGCCAGACTGGAGGGATCCATTCACAGGATCTGGGGGTCTGTTCTCACAGCCTGGACAGTAGGAGTTTGGGATCTTCCCAATCTCTGCCCACTCCTGCAGGAGCAGCCATGGGGTGAGAAGCTGTCCCCTCTCATCACTCATTGCTTCTGTTTTTCCTTTCCAGAGCAACGAGCTACAGCACTGGGTGAGTCCCTGCGAGGTCCTCCTGGCTCGGTGTCCTCTCCCGGGCACTCTGGTCTCTGCCCTTTCCCCCCCATTGCCTGTCTTCTCCATCCCTGCATCCCCTTGGTCTGGAAATCCCCAAGGGGATGTGCCTGGGAGGGCGGGCAGCTCAGGGATACCAGCCCAGGGATGGACCCTCTCCCATGCCTGGAGTTGCTGGGGACAAGTTGTGGAATGTGACCTGCTCTTCTCTCTTTGTAGAGCGGAGAAAATTTCTGCTTCCTCAGAATCCAGGTAAGTGAATATTTCATTTAATTTGATGTTATTTATGGATGTTCTCCTCCCTTTCCCTGTTTGTGAGGCGTACCTGGGCATTGAAGGGACAGTGTTAAACTGAAAAAGGAGAGATTTAGATTAGAAGAAATTCTGTGCTGTGAGGGTGGTGAGACCCTGGCCCAGGTTGCCCAGAGAAGCTGTGGATGCCCCATCCCCGAAGGGGTTCAAGGCAAGGGTTGGACATGGTTTTATTCAACCTAGTCTGGTGGGACGTGTCCTCCCCATGGCAGGAGGGTGGAACTTGTTTGTCTTTAAAGTCCCTTCCAACCCAATCCGTTATTCTATGACTGAGCTCTGCCCCTGATGCTCTGGCTCCTCCTGTCCCCTGCAGAGGTGGTGACCCTGGATCCAAACATGGCTCATTCCCCACTTGTCCTGTCGGAGGATTTGAGATGCAAGAGGCAGGAAAGTGCATGAAAGAACCTGCCTGACACCCCGGAGAGATTTATTTATTGGTACTGTGTGCAGGTCCGGGGGGGGGAATTCTGGGAAGGGAGGAACTGCTGGGAGGTTGAGGCGAGGGGTGAGGTGATTCATGGTGGGCTTTTGGGGTGGCCAGAGAGTCCACGGAGAGGAAGGGGACTCTGAACCTGAACCCTGAAGGAGAGATCTGTGCTGGATCTGCACAGGAAGGGGCAGTTCATGGCTCTTTCTTATACTGCCATCCCCCTGTCCCAGTCCCCGGTCCCCAGAGGGTCTGCGTCTGTCTGGACTGCACACGGCAGCTGGTGACTCTTCAGTGCCACCACTGGGGTCGAGATCTTCACTTTTGCACCAGCCTCATTCCACGGGGAGACCCTGCACCCCTGGTTTCGAGTGGAGACAAGGAAAACCCAGCTTTCCCTCAGGGACAGCACCTCCTATATGTTCTCCTCCCCTTCCAGCCTCTCCATAGCCTCCAGCAACCTCTGCACTTCTCCAGAGACTCCCCACTCTCCTCTCCTGGCTCCTGCAGGAGATGTCCCTCTCTGCCCTGCCCCAGCCTGGAGAGAGACAGGGAGTGAAGGGCAGGGGACAGGGCCTGCTGTGGGGTCTCTTCCAGTGCTGGGAGGCTCTGAGCAGAGGGGGGTGTCCTCGTTTGAGCTTTGATGGAGTTAATTTTCTTTCTAGTATTGGCTGTATTTTGGATTTGGTGTGAGAATCCCATTGATCACACAGGATTATATACGTGGCTGGGAAATGTTCACATCAGTCAAAGGCTTTTTCAGCTTCCCCCCTGCAGCCGAGACGGAGCACGGCCAGGACGAGGCAGCCAAAGGGTTATTCCACCCCACAGATATCCTGCTCGGAATAGAAACGGGGGCTACTGGGGGACTGGGACCCTCCATCACTGCTAGGGATGGTCTGGGCAATCAGTCCTCAGTGATGAAGGCAATTTGTGTTGTTTCCCTTAATCTTGTATCTTATTTTACCATTAATAGCGATGTTTTCCTCTGTGGTAACTGTTGTCTTAAACTGTCTTTATTCCAAGCCACGAGGTGTTTTCCCCTCCTTTTCTCCCTCTTCTCCTCACCCTAATGGGAAACAGGGAGGGAATGTGGGAGCTGCTGGCTGGAGTTAAACCACGCTGGGCAGCCAGGCAACTCTTGGGCCCTCTTGGACACCCTTGGATCCTCTTGGAGATCCTTGGGCCCCCTTGGATCCCCTTGAACCTCTTGGATCTTCTTGGAACCCCTTGCATCCCCTTGGAACCCTTTTGGAACCCCCTTGAGCCCATTCGATCACCTTGGACACCTTGGAATCTCTAGGATCCCCTCGGATCCACCTCAGAACCCCCTTCAATCCCCTCAGATTTGCTGGAAACTCTTGGGTCCCCTTGGATCACCTTGGATCCCCTCAGTACCACTCAGAACCCTCCTTGGAACTCCTTCAACCCCTTGGATCCCCTTGGATCCTCTTCAACTCCCTGTGAACCCCTCTTCCAACCCCTTGGAACCTCTTGGAAGCCCTTGCAGCCCTTTCAGTCCCCTGGGCTCTGCCCAGCATGTAGTCACTGTGAGCAACCTCCTGCCCCACATGATCCTTTTCTGAAGAAAACTGTTTTTTCTGTACCCAATTCCCGCTCTTTCTTATACTGCCATCCCCCTGTCCCAGTCCCCGGTCCCCAGAGGGTCTGCGTCTGTCTGGACTGCACACGGCAGCTGGTGACTCTTCAGTGCCACCACTGGGGTCGAGATCTTCACTTTTGCACCAGCCTCATTCCACGGGGAGACCCTGCACCCCTGGTTTCGAGTGGAGACAAGGAAAACCCAGCTTTCCCTCAGGGACAGCACCTCCTATATGTTCTCCTCCCCTTCCAGCCTCTCCATAGCCTCCAGCAACCTCTGCACTTCTCCAGAGACTCCCCACTCTCCTCTCCTGGCTCCTGCAGGAGATGTCCCTCTCTGCCCTGCCCCAGCCTGGAGAGAGACAGGGAGTGAAGGGCAGGGGACAGGGCCTGCTGTGGGGTCTCTTCCAGTGCTGGGAGGCTCTGAGCAGAGGGGGGTGTCCTCGTTTCAGCTTTGATGGAGTTAATTTTCTTTCTAGTATTGGCTGTATTTTGGATTTGGTGTGAGAATCCCATTGATCACACAGGATTATATACGTGGCTGGGAAATGTTCACATCAGTCAAAGGCTTTTTCAGCTTCCCCCCTGCAGCCGAGACGGAGCACGGCCAGGACGAGGCAGCCAAAGGGTTATTCCACCCCACAGATATCCTGCTCGGAATAGAAACGGGGGCTACTGGGGGACTGGGACCCTCCATCACTGCTAGGGATGGTCTGGGCAATCAGTCCTCAGTGATGAAGGCAATTTGTGTTGTTTCCCTTAATCTTGTATCTTATTTTACCATTAATAGTGATGTTTTCCTCTGTGGTAACTGTTGTCTTAAACTGTCTTTATTCCAAGCCACGAGGTGTTTTCCCCTCCTTTTCTCCCTCTTCTCCCCACCCTTCTGGGGAACAGGGAGGGAATGTAGGAGCTGCTGGCTGGAGTTAAACCACACTGGGCAGCCAGGCAACTCTTGGGCTGTCTTGGACACCCTTGGACCCCCTTGGAACCCTTTGGATCTCCTTGAAGGCCCTTGGGCCCCCTCGGATCCACTTGGAACCCCCTTGAACCCATTCGATCGTCTTGGACCCCTTGGAACGCCTCAGATCCCCTTGGAACCTCTTGGATGCCCTTGGAATCTCTAGGATCCCCTTGCATCACCTTGGATCCCCCTCAGATCCCCTCGGTGCCACATGGAACCCTGCCTTGGAACTCCTTGAACCCTTGGATCCCCTTTGGACCCTCTTGGATCCCCTTGGATCCCTTGGGTCATCTCAGAACCCCTTAGATCCCCTTGCAACACCCTTGAACCTACTCAACTGCCTTGGACCCCTTGGAACGTCTTGGATCCCTTCAGATCCCTTCTATCCCCCCAGATCCTCTGGAACCTTTTGGATCCCCTCAGTACCACTCGGAGCCTCCCTCAGAATTCCTTGAACCCCTTGGATCCCCTTGCAACTCCTTCAAACCCCTGGGACCCCCTCTTGGAACCCCTTGGCTCTGCCTGATGTGTACTCACCATGAGCAACCTCCTGCCCCACGTGATCCTTTTCTAAAGAAAACTGTTTTTTCTGTACCCAATTCCCTTCCCAGTTGGGTACTCGGTGAAGGTGGTTGCTTTTTTTTTTTTTTTTTTGCTTATTTAGTGGATTTTGGCTCTGTGCAGGGAAGCATCTTTGTCCCAGAGTGCCTTTAGGTGCAGCAGAAGAGGAAACTTCTGAGAGTAGAAGGAATTTCCCAGACTGGGGCTATTTTAGATGGATTTATTATGATATTGAATCGCTGTTGCTGCTCTGGGGCTGGGGGCTGTGGGGGGCTGTGGGGTGGGATGCTGCCGAGACCAGGAACCAGGGGTGGCCCTGGACTGGTGACTGGGGATGGCCAAACCCAGCGAGGCATGTGAAGGAGCTGAGGCTGTGGAAACCAAGACCAAAGGCCAGCCCAGCCATCACTGTCACTTGGGGCCGGTTCCGATGGCTGGGGGTGCCTTGGGGACACAAGGGGAAAGCTGGGGATGTGGTGAGGGCTGTGACAGGAAGAGTGGTGGGAACACGGTGTGGACATGGCAGGGATGTCTAGGGGTGCAGAGGGGAAATCTGGTGACACAGGATGGTGGCAGGGACAATTGGTGACACGGGGGTGGCATTGCCTCCTGTTGGGGACAAGGTATGCTGGGGCAGTGGTGGCACCTGGTAGCACAGGGACAGGGTCACCATCCAGCAGAACCCGCCCAACCCCCGGCGGGTGCAGGACCATGACTGGGGACACCAGGGGTGGGCCACCACTGCCAGCACCTCCCCAGTGCCCAGCTCCAGGGACATGCCCTGGGGGGGACAGAGGTGACACCCTTGCATTCCCTCTCCTGGTGTCCCTGGCTCCCCTCATGCCCTCCCTGCCATGTTCCCTCCAAGTTCCCACACCATCCTCGCCCCATTCCTGTACCCATGCCCTCCCCACTGTGTCCCAATGTCCACCTGCCATGTCCCCACACCCTTCCCCATGATGTCCATATCCCCATGACCTCCCTACCATGTCCCCATGTCACCTCACCATGTCCCCATGACCACCCCATTGTGTCCCAAGTCCATATGCCATGTCCCCACCAAGTCCTTCTGCCCCCCACCATGTCCTTACACCCTCCTTACCAGCTCTGGGTCCCTATGCCATGTCCCCCTGAAATATCCCCACACCCTTCTCATCATGTCCTTGTCCCCACACCTTCCTCACTGTGTCCCTGTGTCCTCCCACCACGTCATGTCAGGACATTGCTCCAACACAAGCTCTCCAGGGGTCACAGCCTCTTCAGGCACCCACCAGCTCTTGAGTAGAGTCCTCCACAGGCTGCATGTGTGTACCTGTTCCCCCATGGACCTCCACGGGCTGCAGGTGGGTGTCTGCTCCACCATGGACCTCCCTGGGCTGCAGGGAGACACCCTGCCTCGCCATAGTCTTCACCATGGGCTGCAGGTGGATATCACTAAGTACTTGTGACAAGAAGTCACCTTCCAGAAGCTTCAGAGATCTCCCAGCCCTGCTCATCACAGCAGTAGGGCACTCCCAGCTGATGTTGGGGATGTTGAAGTCTCCCATAAGGACAAGTGCGATTGATGCAGAGATTTCTCCGGATTGTTTATGAAATAGCTCATGGGTGCTGCCATCCTGGCTGGGTAATGGGTGGTGGACACCCACTGTGTCATCTGCTTTGTCTCCCATCCTCTAATTCCCACCCAGAAGCTCTCGCCTGCATCATCCCAAAGTGTAAGGGCTGTGTGGCCAAACCTCTCCCTATCTTCCCTCGTGCGAACTCCTGTAGAGCTGGTGACCCTCCATCCCTCCATTCCCATCCCAAGTCTTCTTCCACTGGCCCAGGACACCATGATGACCAATGCCAACAAGCTGGTGGCCCTCCACCCCTCTCTCCTGTCCTGGGTCTCCTTCCACTGGCCCAAGACACCATGATGACCAATGCAAGGGATGGCTAACTCTTCTGAAGAGCTGGTGGCCCTCCTTTACACCACTCACGTCTTGGGACTCCTTCACTGATGCAGGACACCATGATTTATCACCATAGTGATTAGATAAACACTAATTATTACTAATAACCATAAAACTTTGTGAAGTGACTGGTTTTTCCTCTTTTCTTTCTATTGAGCCAAAGTCCCTGAGCTTTGTCTCGCTGTACTTAGCAGCGGAGTCTTTGCTTCTAGTTGCAGGATGATGGTGAGTGACAGAGAGGCTGCGTGGGCCTGGTTGGGGTTCAACCAGGAGCAGAATGACCAGTGGGAGGGACACCAGGAATGAGCTGGATGACCGATACAGGGGATGCTGGGAAGGGTTGGGGATGTCTCAGTTGTTGGGGACATCTCTAGGGGCATTGGGGACATCTCAGGGACGTTGGTGACACTGTGGCTCCACACCTGCAGTACCGGCTTTTGGCCGCCGGGCGGCAGCACATCCTTAATTATCTCGCTCTGAGCCCTCATTAGGGTGATGAGCAGTGACCGTTCTCAGCCGCCTTCACTACACCCAGGGACCGCGGGCAGGGCTTCCAGCTCGCAGCCCGGGCAGCGACAGCCATCGCCTCGGCACCAAAAACCTGCCCAAAGGGGTTTTTTTTTTGCCCCAGAACGAGCCCTGGGGATGCTGCATCGCTCTGCGAGGGGCACCAGGGCTGAGGGGGTGACAGCAGTGACTCCGCCAGGGACTTATCCACAACAGAAACGTTGGGGAATTCTGCTTTTCTGCAGGAAATACTTCTACATGAATAATGGGAGAGGAAAATGCCAAAATAGGGAGAAAAAACAAGTGCTAAATTATAGGATGAGAAAGAGCAAAAAGAAAACCAGGAGAAAGGTCAGGGAGGGGAGGAAAAAAGGAAGTAAATTTCATGCTGATTTGGTTTTAATGTGGCAGCAGAACATAAACACGGAAGTTCAGCAGCAGAAGTTTGCCCTGGGAGGGATGTTTTTCAGAGAAAACAAGAGAAAACCAGCAAACTGAAAACCGCAGAAGCACGGTGAGCTACAACCGGGGACAGGCAGGTATTTGGGGGTTGATTTTTTTTCATAGTTTTGGGGATATTCTGATAAAAAGAGATGTTGAGTGGCTGCATCTTGTGACAGATGCACAAAAAAGTGTGAAACCACTGAGCCTTTACAGCTACAGGAAGTGTTTTCGTGGTGCTACAACCCACAAAAGTAAAGTCAGAGGCCAGCCGAGCCCACGGCGAGGCAGATTCTGCCACAAAGTCCCATTTCTCTATGAAAATTCTCATTTTTTTCCCTCATTCTTTAATACCTGTTCCCCAGCTCACAGATATGCTGGTGGTGGAGGGACTGAGCATCCTCGACACCATCTGGACGTCTGCTGCCTCCTGGCTCTCACCGTGGGAGGGTGGGTGATAAAAAACCCCAAATTGGGTCAAATACCATTACTTTTCCCTGCAAAATACTTGGAGGCAATTAATTTATCCGTCCCCCCCGCCCAAGGTTTTAGTTCTCCAACCCCCAAAGATGGAAAAGGGGAGAAGACCTGCGGCAATTGGCACAACTCCAGATGAAGAAACCCCCGGGGATGGAGGGAGACACAGAGAGAGCACCCAAACCCCCCAACTTAGGGGTTTGACCCCAAAGCAACATTAAAAACCGAGTAAGAACACTCATAATCATTAAAAAAATATGGATTTTGGAGCTGTTTCTCCCCAAATTATCAGCTGGACTTCCCATGACTACCCATGGGGACCCCTGTTGCTTTTATCAATGTGGGGAGGTGCCTCCCGTTCCCTTTTTTTCCCCTTTTTTTCAAATTAAAAGGTTTGATGCTTTGAGCCCAAGACGTGGAAGAAGCTCCCAAAGCATCCCACTCGGATTAATCCTATTAATTATACACCAAACAATGGGGAACCCCGAAAGGGAATCACCCCAATCTCCCCCCAGTCGGACAAGAAAATAGTTCCAGTAAAAATAATCAGATTTCAGGGCTCAGCCTTTGGTAGATTTAAAAGCAAACATGGGATTGGAAGTCCCATTTTTAAGTTTCTCTCATTATCAGGACGTTAAAACAAGCAATTCCCTCGGAATGGGAATTTGAGGTTTGGTTTTGTTCCTTCATGGAAAAGGAGTCCCCTAAATCCCATTGGATTTTCCACCGTGTCCCTTGGGCTGTGTCCCCACCTCGTGGTTGATTGGTCGAATTCAACATGGAAAATAGGGCAACTGGGGAGAAACCTCTCCTTTTTTGGGAGATTTATCCAAAAAAAGGGTTCCCCCAGCTTTGCGCTTTCCTGTTTTCAGTGGTTTCCAGCAGCCACCTTCACCCCCAGCTTGGGTTCATTTCCTGGGAATTTGGGGTTTTATGCCGAAAACATAAAAACATGGGCAGCTCTGAGGGGATGCAAACCCCCCCAGAAGGATCTAAATCAAGGGCTCAACTGAGAGACCCAACTCTTGGAGCCCTCAATCCCCCCCTGAAAATAAAACCCTCCTCAGGAAGGGATGTTATATCCCATCCTTTCTCTTTTGGGGAGCACCTCCGGGTTTTTTGTCACTCCCTTTCCCAGAGGGGATTTTTAACACTGCCTTTTAAGCATTTCACAGGAGCACGATTCCACCTGGATCTCCTAAAAACTCACCTCAGGAAAGACCAAATGAGTGATTTTTGACTTTTTTTTTTGTGTAGCTGAATGCAACAAGTTTTGTGTTTCCTACTCTGTTTTTCTCCCCAAGAGTACTTCAGGCATCTTTTTTTTTTTTTTTTCTGGTCCAAAACAGCTTAAAAAAAGCAATGTCGCTGTCGGAAATGGTTCTTTGTGGGCAGCTGCAGGGGGTGGAAGAGCAGAGTGAACCTGGGGCAGGGGGCAGGTTTTTAGCTGTGACTCTGACAACAAAACCCCACTGACAAAACACCACCATCAGTCTCCGTGGGGTAGAAGAACTCCCTGGTGGCTCCATTTCTAATGCCACGAGGGCAGGGACCGGCCGTGGCATTGACCACAGTTTATGCAGAGCCAGATGGGCCACCACCCTTGGGTCCTGGTGGCCACCGGAATGGTCCCGGTAAGTGAATTTATTCCATGGGTCCTTCTTCTCCTGACCCCAGGGGATTTTTGTGATGGATGGAGGGTCTGGGAGGAGCTGATGTCCCTGATGCTGCTGGACCCCAGCAAAGCACAGGGAGAAAAAGATCTTCCATATGTTTCCATCCATTTCCTGAGCTGTTGGTGGCCAAAACCCAACGCTCAGCCCTCAAGCGGGTTTGCTGCCTGTTCTTCCAGCCTCGGACAGAGCATGGCACAAGCAGACTTCTTTTTCACAGCCTGATTTTCTTGGAAATTGGGGGAAAAAAAAATAAAATGCAACCAGCCCTCAAGGACACTCCCAACCCTCCATGCAGGGCTTCATGCACCCCTGCTTTTTTTCACTGAGTGGCAACCAGCAGGTTCTCCCCATCCCTTGGAGCATCCCAAGGGCTTGGCTTTGGTGCTTTTTCCCTTCCCCAGGGAAGCACTGGGAGAGGAATGGAGCTCCCAGCTCAGAGGCTTTGCTTGACATGGCTTCCCCAGTCAATCAGGAAATGTGGTTTGTGGGTTTTCTCGGCTCCGTTGCTCCTCCAGATGCTTGAAAGGTTTTCTCACTGATAAGAACCACCTGAGGGGATTTGTCCACTGAAAAATGGGTGTTAAAAAAGGAGGAAAAGCCCACAGAAGTGCTGTTTCCTCCGCTGTTCCCAGTCTGGGTCCCGTTACAGGTCCTCGATGGTACTGGGTGCTGCTGGGAGCTGGATGGGTCGGGAAGGGGGTCCTGGCCGGTGTCATGGTGTGGCTGCTGCAGCAATGTGGTGAGTGACGGGGTCCATCACCCAAAACAGAGAAAAATCTTCCCAAATCCATCTGATTTCTGTGATAGAACAGATTTCTTCTGTATTTCTTACAGGGACCAGCTCCTGGGAAAATTCAGCTCCTGGTAACAGCTGCCCCTAATGGGTGGGAGGGGGAAAAGCTGCCACCACATCCCCCATGGACACTGATTTCTACATTTTTAGAGCCTCTCCTCATACAGGTCCCTCTCTCCACCCTGGTCATAAATGGTTTGGATGGGAAGGAATCTTAAAGACCATCTCGTTCTGCCCCTCCTGCCTCTTCTCCAGGCTGAACACACCCAACTGTCTCAGCCCGTCCTCACGGCAGAGGGGATCCAGCCCTTGGAGCACCTCTGTGGCCTCCTCTGGTCCTGCTCCAACAGGTCCATGTCCTTCTGATGGCCCCAGAGTGGAGCAGAGGGGCAGAATCCACCCCCCCTCACCCTGCTAGGGATGCAGCCCAGGTTGCCAGTGGTCTTTTGAGTACCAGTGCACATTGCCTGCTTATGTTGAGCTTCTCGTCCACAAACACCCCCAAGTCCCTCTTCTCAGGGCTGCTCTCCAGCCATTCTCCACCCAGCCTGGATTTGTGCTTGGGATGGAGCTTGAAAGACCCCACAGGTCCCCCCTAAAGACTCCTGTCCCCAGGCAGCACCTTGTTCCATCCCCAAGGGTGATTTGCCCCAGGGTTTCACCCTCTGCTCTCACCACGATACTGTGGGTCAAACCCACCCCCATTTCAGGTGGAAATGGCCCCATCCTGAGGCAGGACACAGCCCCGTGCTCCTGGAAAACCTGCCTGCCTGACCCCGGGCCATGGGATGTCCTGGAAATCAAATGCTCCCTCCATTGCTTCCAGCACCAGCTCCGACAGCGACTCTGCCAGCTGGGAAACCACTCCACAGCAGGTACCACAGCTCAGCACCACCTTCAGGGGTGCAGATGGAGCCCTCCCACATCGTTAAGGGGTGTGGGAGGGTAGTTGTCCCCTTTCCACATGGGAGAGAGGAGCAACAAGACCAGGAACATTGGGGAAAACACCCCAAAATCCCCCCAATTCTTTCCCCATCCACATCATCCTCTCCCATGCCCTCACCATCTCCTTCCTCCTTTCTCCCCACACTGGGGGGGGATCTTTCCAACCCGTCTCCACCCAAAAATTGAGCACCTGGAGGGGCTCAAAGAGCAGGAAGAGCCTCCAGGGGATGAAGGAGGGCTCACACTCCTCCTCTGCCACAGGCCCCAGGGCTTGCCAGCTCTGTCCCACGGGCTGGCAGCCCTTCGCAGCCAAGTGCTACTGGGTTTCCACCAAAACCGAAGCCTGGAAGATGGCGGCGGAAAACTGTCAGCACAAGGGAGCTCAACTGGTCATACTGGAGAGCCTGGAGGAGAAGGTAAGTAACTGGTGGGGAAAGGCTCCAGTGTTCCCCCTGCATTTGGCTTTTTTATTAGTATTTTTTAAACCTTTGCTTTCCACAAAAAGCCCCACAACTCCCATCCTGGGACTGAGCTTTCCTTCCGGGCTTGCAAAGCTCTGCCAGGTAGGATTTTGGGGGAAAAACCCTCAGAAATATGAATTTGGAGGAGATTAAAGATGGGCAAAACCATGCTGCCCCACTCATGAGCTTCCAAGCTCCTCTCTCACCCCCAAAAATGTTGCCCATCACCTCCAGACCACAATCCCCCCCTCTTTCACAGCACTCCCTGGCCTCTCCAGTCCCCAGTCTGCAACTGGGATGCGCCAAACTCATCCCAGCTCAGATCTCCCTGGGGCACGATGAGGCTCTGAGACTCCATCTCTCCTCTCCCAGGCTTTCATCGAGGGGATGATGGGAAACACCTCCAGGGCCTGGATGGGACTGAGGAAACACCAGGGGAGAGAGACTGAGTGGACATGGGAGGACGGGTCCCCTTTACAGAAAACCTTGTGAGTTCTCTCCCTGGGGGGGGTCACAATAATCACATCCCAGGGCAAATAATTCCCAGCCCCATGCTCACCACAAACCTTTGCTTCCCCCCAAAAAATCCCTCCAGAACCAGCACTCATGAGAGCAAATTAAACCACAGCGATATGGGTCTGGTCTCTGCTAAACAGGAAGAAGAGAGGAAAAAGCGATTAAACCTTTATTCTTATTTTATGAAGTGGAAAATTGGGGAAATTTCAACCCCTTAAAAAGCAAGGAGATGCCCCAGGGTAACATTTTTCACTGCAGTGAGCTCAGTCTATAGAAAAAAAGGCAGTTTCTGATAGAGCAAGCATTTATTAGACCAAATATTACACACATAGGGGTCTGGGGGAGAAGGAGTAAGTTTTTTGGGGGGCACAGGCTGCCCCAACACTTCTGCTTCCCTGACAAAGAGGGGAAACAATGGCACATTCCCCCACTCGCAGCTGAGCTGACAATGGTTGACCCAATTCAGGGTATTTTTAGGGGGAAAACACCACAAAGAGATAAATACATTGGTGGGAAGGCAGCGTCCAAGCGCAGGACTCCAGGCCCATCGCCATCACCCTGTTTTTAGGTCTCCGGTGCTGGGTCCCAAGGAAGAAAACGCTTGTGGGGCAATCAGAAAGGGTCAGCTGAACTCCCACATCTGCAGCCTCCCCTTGCACTGGATTTGCCAGAGAGAAGCCACTGAGATTTAAGGGCAGAGGGAAAGACCACGAGGCTTTCAACGGGATAAATCACAGAATCACAGAACGATAGAGGGTTGGAAGGGATCTCTGGAGATCATCCCGTCCAACCCCCACACTCAGCGCTGAGCAATTCTCCAAGATCATACAATGGTTTGGGGACCTTAAAGATCATCCAGTCATCCCCATCCTGCCCTGGGCAGGGACGTCTCCCACCAGACCAGGTTGTTCAAAGCCCCATCCAACCTGGCCTTGAACCCCTCCAGGGATGGGGCAGCCACAGTTTCCCTTGGGCAACCTAGGCCAAGCTCTCACCACCCTCACAGCAAAGAAGTTCTTCTTGAGGTCTCATCTTAATCTCCCCTCTTTCAGTTTAAATCCATTCCCCCCTTCCTACTGATCCCCTTTCTAGATCCGGGGGAGAATCAACCCTATCCCCACCGGAACCAGGACACCCAGGAAGAATTATTTTCCAGCTTCCCAGCCCTTGAGGCTTCCCCACCTCAAAGTTCCAGTTCCCTCATTCAAAACAAGCGTTTCAAAAGCCAAACACAAGGCCAAACTCTCAGGGCCCCCCTAATCCTCATCCCCCACAGAAGCCCCAGAAGCAGCTCGAGGTGGTGGTGGCAAACCCAACATGCACAGTGTCTTGGACTTGCAGCCATCCCCATGTCCCCATGTCCCCTGTCCCCCTCCTCCACTCAGCAAATGGGTGTTTGCCCTCCCTGGGCACTGCCTCAGGGTGAGCTCACTCGCCAGGGGTGGGTTGTTGAGCAATACTAGTTTTTTAGCATAAATAAGTATGTTTTAACTAGAATAAATGGATTATAAAAGGATTGCAGTATGGTGTGATTTGTGCTGTTTGCTGAGCTTTATTGAGCACGAGCAGCTGGACTTGCTGATGCCTTTGGGCTGCAAGAGAGTTACTTTTCTTGGCAATTTTCCTTAATTGATACCTCAATTTAATTTTCTTAGTAACTTTCCCAGAACACGGAGAACTGAAGAGTTCCAGGCTCGGGAAAAATCTCTACTAAAACATCAGTGTGATGTCAACATCTTTCCTACACCAAAAGACTAAACACAGCGCTGTCCCAGCTGTGAGGAAAATTATTTGCACTATTTGTGATGCTTTTTAACCTCCTTCCAACCTCTTTTTTCCTCCTTTTTAACCTGATGCTGCTACCAGCACTGTGCCACCAGTGTCCCTCTCCTCTACCATCCCTTGGTCCCTTCCTGGGTGAGTTGTGCTGGGCATGGGACGAGAGCATGACCTGAGGATGAGGAGGGCACAGGAGGGAGGAAGATTGAGGGGGGCATTGTCAGTGGCAGGAACCCCAAAGAGGGGGGGATGGGAAGGCTCTGGAGCACCCTGGAGCTGTGGAAGGGTGAAGCAGGGACAGGGAGGGACAGGGACAGAGGCCAGGACAGAAGGATGCTCCTTCCAGCCCTCCCCTTCCCAGCTTGAAAACACCACACAGAGCCCAGATCACGTTGTTATTAATTAGCGCAGATGGTCATTGGCACAACATCATCACCGGCTCCCGCGTCCCCCTGTGGGGATCCTGCCCCATCCCTGAGCATCTCCCCCCTGGCCGCAGCCCGGCTGGTGGCCCCTGGCTCAGAGCTGGGTGGCTTCTTTCTGGCAGATCCACTGGAAGGTCGAGCTGCAGTTGACGGTGCTGATCCTGCCCTCCCTGATGGCCCCGCAGGATCCGCCTTCAGCCCGGGGGTTCAGCTGGAATCTGGGGGTGCAGGAAGGACCCCATGTCACACATGAAGGTCCCTCGGGTGATGGTCCCCCGACACCCACCCTCCGCCCCCGCAAAAGCACTCACCGGCTCGGGTCCAGGCGGGAGCCATTGACCCAGGTCCAGCCCTTCTCAAAGAAGAGGCCAATCCAGAAGTAACGGGTGGGTGTTTGGAGGGTTCTATTTATGAAATCCTGTAGCCAGAGGGAGAGAGGGCAGGAGGTGACACCGACGTGACACAGGTCACCACCCCAAAACAGGCTCCAGCCCCCGTGTCCCAGGACAGAGACCCCCGAGTGTCCCCCCAGCAAAGACACCCAGGGCTGGGCGCTGACCCCAGGTTTCTTGGGAAGGCCCTTGGCCCTTCCCCAGGTGCCACCAGGCCCATCCCACACCACCAATGCCATTGGTCCCTGTACCAGCTCCTCCTGGTCCTCTGGCATCATCAGCTCGCCACCCTGATTCACACAGTCCTCCCGGCTGGAATTCCAATGGCTGAGTTCATGGGAAACCCGATAGCACTTGGTCCCATGTGACATCCAGTTCATGGGGCAGAGGGTGCACCCCTCGTCCTCTGAAAGACAGGTCAGGACCACAGTCAGCCACCAAGAAGCCACTTTGTCCCCTGCACATCCCAAGAAGGACAAGTGGTTTAGCCCCGTTTGCTCCCCAGGAACACGGGAATGTTCTGAGTTTTGCCTGGTTCTCTACTGGGGAATAGAATATTGGGGAATTTGGGCTGTAAGTTTTTGTGAAACCTGATGGTGCCAAGATGCACTGTGGCAGGGGGGCATCACCTTGTGGCTTTGATGAGCAGAAAACTTCCCTCAGCTCTGAGTAGACTTTCTTCAGGGTGGCGTCACCATCTCTGATGTCCCTGCTCACATTCCCAATCATGTTCCTGCAGCTTCCGGGGTTCTCCAACCACTGGTGGAGAACTGAAAGGGTGGAGAAGGGGAGAGGGATAGGTTCCCCCAAAATCTACCTTCCTGTGGCCCTGGTGGCCACCGGGAAGTGTCTGGGATGGATCCCAACACTGAGATGGTGCTCAGAGCCCTCACCTCATCCTTCCTGGTATCTAAGCTGACCCCAAGCTTTGATCCCAGCATCTCCTGAGAAGTGAGAACTGGCCTTGGGGTCCCGCCCCAGAGCAGACTCCAGATCTCAGGGTGCCAGCCTCAGACAAGCTCCTTTTGGGGTAGGGGGTCAACACCTCTGAGCTCCCACCCCCGCATTTGCAACCACCTCCCCCCCACCGCTTCTTTCCACTACCAGCAGGATGTGTTACCTCCACCCCCTGCCTGAGATCACACTTGAGATATGGAGGCATCAAACTGGATGGTGGCAGAAAGCCCCGTAGCTACGGAAGTGGTCTCTGCTGCAAAACAAGCTGTACCGGCCTCATCCGTCCAGGCCAGAGGGGCCTGACGCAAGGGTGAAGGGCTCCTCAACCACCTGCTGACTACCCCTTGCTGCCTACAGGCACTTGCAGCGCTTGAGCAGCCCCCAGCAGATTGGTTTTGGGGTCTCTCCAGCAATGGGCCCACACCAAGTTCAAACCGTCATCCCCAGATCACTGCTGGTTCCAGATCTCCTCCCATTTGGAGGATCTCCCCACCTTTGGAGGATCTTCTCCCCTATTTGGAGGATCTCCTTCCAAGATCGATCAGACATTTGAGCCTCCCTCCTATCTGCTCGGTGTGGTTTGGGGGTTCTAGGGGCCAGTGCAGCATCAGATGCCACCAGAAACCTCACACCGGGCACAACACTCATTTCGGCAGGGCACCGTGTCACCCTGAGCTAGGCCATGGGGTGACAAATCCTGCCCCTGCCACAACTGAGAAGTTTCCAGTGGTTTCCCCTGACTGACCGACAAGAGTTGAGGCTCCTGCACCCATCAACTCTAAGAAACTCTGATGAAAACCCACTTCCCCACACCTTGCACTGATGTGCGTCAGTCAACGCCGATCAGAAAAGGAGATTTGCCTCCTACACAAGCCCTTGGGGTTCTGGACCCCTCCCTGCTCTTTGCATAGTCCCCTCTTTGAGCTGTCCTTTGGTTGTCCCCATGTCAGATCCCATGAGTGGAGCTACTCACACAAGCATCTCATGGCCACCACAGCCACCCCGAGGAGGAGGTTCCCAGTCCAGCCAGCCCAGAGTGCGGTTCGGTGCCACTGGGGACAACCCGAGGCTGCAAGAGAAAGAGTTGTCAGGAGAAAAACACTGCCCCGATCCCACATCCAGCAGAGCTGCAGAGCAGATTTGGGCTGTTTTCTCCCCCAAAACCCTCTGTGGTGGTGCTTGTTGCTCAAAAGTTGTGGTCAATCGTCCATGTTTCAGTGCTGCCACCCTCCTCCTGATCCTGCTAGCACCGGGGCAAAGTGCCTCATGATGAGGTTGGGATGGTTTTACCCAGATATCCCAGACTCCAAGAATTGGGAATTTCCTGGCTGTTATAAGCCATTAGAAACCCGAAGTGTTGGGTCAAGTTTAGAGCTGCCCCATCACTGCATCCTTTCCCCACCTCCACGGCAAAACTGCTGACCCTGGATGGCCCAAGCTCTCCAAGGAGAATTCATCTGGCTGGGGTGAGACAGCCCCATCCTCCCCCAGCTCCATCCTGCCCCAGGAAGCACGGAGGCAGAATCAAAAGAGATGTTTTTGGTGGAAATTGTGAATTCTTGCAAAAAATTGTTGGGGTCTGGGGGGGATGGGGAGGGAGAGGTGCAAGGAGGAAGGGCCACCAGCAACTTTGCAGTTTTAGCAGAACGTCCCAGTTTTCCCCAGTTTGGTTCCTCATCTCTTTTTGCTCTCTACACTCCCCTACAACACCCTCCTCCCTCCCTCTGTGCCTCAGTTTCCCCAGTTGAGGAGCTCTTGGGAACCCAATGGGTGGCGTCACCCCTCTTCTTCCCCTGCTCAAGTCGTGCCAGTCACCGCTACCCCGTATTTCCTCTCTTCCCCACACAATTTAGGAATGGACCAGCAGACACACCCCCCAATACCTGCACTCCGGAGCTGAGCTGGTCTCCCCACAGTCCCCCGCTTCTCTAAGGTCATGTAGCCATCCTCGTCCTCCATGACACTGAAAAGCCGGGAGGGCAGAGGGTTGGGGACAAGGAGGAGGGGACAGGAAACTAAAGCCCCAATGACCTCTTAGACTGCTGACATCCAGCTGTGAACTGGCAGCGGGGCCTGAGCTTCCTGCCACCCCTGCAGTGAAAAGAGATTAAAACCTGCTGGGGATGGCAGCCCTGATGCCCTGGTGAGGGGCACCGTTGGTGTTCAGGGGGTCACCAGACACTTCCACACCGGGGGCTTGATGGCAACCCAAGGGTGGGACCTGAGCAGGGACTGTCCCATCACACTCTGCTCCGCACACATCCCATCTTAGTGTCCCCATGTCCAGAGCCGGGAGGGAAAACCCCGAGGGAACATCCATTGGGGAATTTCCTTTGGGAGAAGGGATCAGGAGTGCAAGCGGTGTTCTCTGTCATTCCAGTCACAGGGAAGGAGGAGGGAAGCAACAAGAAGAGCCAGCAGATCAATACCTGCCTCCGAGCCAGAAAAGGAAGGAAAAACATCAGTCCAGCCTCCCAGCTCTGTCATCGAGCTCAGAGAAACCTGCTGGGACCATATAGAGTCTTGGAGGCACCAGCAATTTCCAGGGAGGCACAAGCATCTGTGGTTGAGTAACCAGATCCACCAGACTCCACTGATTCAAAGGGGTTTTGGAGACCAAAAAATCCCAGCGCCTTCGGGAAAGGGTGAATATGGGATGGGCGTCTCCAATTCCCTTCTTCCTCAGCTGTCGAATTGAAAATTCCCAGAGCAATCTAAGTTAATGTATTGTCTAAAGTCCTGCTGAAAAGGGGCTGGGTCTCAGTTTAACCAACAGCATAGAATCAGGAAATCTCTCTCTTCCTGTTCCTTCAAAATTGAAAGAAACTTGGAGACTGAAACTGCGACAGCTGCTCTTCATGGCAACCAGGACTCCTGAGGAAATCCTCCGGGATGAAGCCTGCTGCTCTGTCTGCCTGGAAATATTCCAGGACCCTGTGTCCATCCACTGCGGGCACAGCTTTTGCCGGTCGTGCATCACTGGGATCTGGGAAGGACTGACCACCAACTTCTCCTGCCCCCAGTGCAGGGAGACAGTGTCCCAGAAGAGCCTCCGCCCCAACTGGGAGTTGGCCAACATGATTGAAGCAGCCAAGAGATTGAACATGCAACGGGACAGAGTGGTGGAAGGAGGGGAGAACTTGTGCGAGGAGCACCAGGAACCCCTGAAACTCTTCTGCCAAGATGACAAAATGCTTATCTGCATGGTGTGTGACAAGTCCAAGGCTCACCGTAACCATTCTGTGGTTCCCGTGGGTGAGGCTGCCCAGGAGTACAAGGTGAGGGGGTTATGAGTGTGTTGAGGCACAAAGGTCCAGAAGGTCCTGGTATTGCTGCTCTTGATGGGTGGAGATACAGCTGTACAGTCTTTGGCCTGTGCGATAAACCACCTGGGGACTCACCAGTCCTTGCCTCTTGATACCAACTCTTGAGGTGGCATTGCCTGTCCTGAAGGAGGAGGTGGATGTAAGAGCACCACACTACTGGGGACCAAGGGCTCCTCTACGCCAGGGTTCAGCCAGAAGCAGGGGATTGGGCAAGGGCAAGAAACAGAGGTGTAGGATTTCTCACCACCACAATCCCTTGGACACATTTTAACCTCATGATTTGCAGTGCCAGGGGTTTCCTGAGCCTCAGCAGGGCTTGTTTATCCAGCATTTGTAAAAGGCTCTCTCCTCGGGGTGCGGGTCCCTGATCATGGTCAGCTCTGCCGAAGATCAGTAGGAAAGGAGAGAAAAAGATCCTCAGCCCTTCTCCCACCCCATAGTTCCCTGAAAGGCCTTGACCTTCATCAAAATAGAAAAAGACAAAAAATAAAAACAAAGGAAACAAAAGGACAAAAAATAGGAAAAAAAAAGAAAAAAAATAGGGAAAAACAGGAATAAAGGCGAACTAAATTGCCTTGAAACAGTCATGGGGGCCACAAAACTTTGACAACACTTACCTCAAGAGCCATCAAGAGTTCCCCATTGCTTCTGCTGAGGGTGCCAGACCATGATGCCATTCCAAAAGGGACTTCTTTCTTTTTTTCCTCTCAGAAACAAATTCAGACCCAACTGCACCTTCTGAAATCAGAGCAAGAGGAGCTTCAATCCTCCATGAAGGACAGGCAAGACAGAATCAAGGACCACACTGTAGGTGCCCATCAGTTTTCGTGGGCAGAGGGTGGGGGAAGAAAGGAGGAACATCTCCTCCTCCTTCTCCTATCTCCCAGGGGTGGGTGATGCTCAAAGGCTGAGGGGAAGAGAGAGGAGGTTTGTATCTTCCCCAAATGCCTCTTTTTGGTGGGTCTCACTAAGGCATGGCCCACCCTTCACTCTTGATGCTTTTGTCCTGCTCTCTGCTTCCCTTTCCCTGCTTTGTCTTGCCCTTGGCAGGAGAGGACAGAAGCTGCAAAGCAGGAGATTGTGAGGACATATAGGAAGTTGCACGAGCTCCTGGAGAAGGAGGAGTCCTCTTTTCTGGCCCAGCTGGAGCAGCTGGACAAAGAGATGGTGAACGCACATGAAGAAATCTACCAGAAGCTTTCGGATGAGACGATGAGCCTGGGCACACTGATTGGGGAGATGGAGAAGACATACCAGCAGCCAGACTTGGAGCTCCTGAAGGTGAGAGCCCAGGCTTTCAGAACTTGCTGTGAAGGCCTGGGATGAGCTTGGTCTCCAGCCCTTGCTTTTCTTCCCCAACCCGCTCAAAGAGGGACTTCCTTAGAGTGGGACCCTGGTATTCCAAGGGGAGGTATTTCATGTCACTGAGTCTCTTTTTCTCTCTCATCTAGGACATTGGAACCACCTTGAGCAGGTATGTGGTCCTTCTCCTGTCCCCATGTCACCACCACAGAGCAGCTCTGGGGCAGGACACTGGAAGAAAGCACGTAGGGACAGGTTGGCTGTTCTGCAGTACAGCCTTTGGACTTGACCAAAGCCACAGAGGGTTAGAAGGAGGGCTCTGCCTCTCTCTCCTTAATTCATGGTGAATTCAGACAGGGACTGGCAAGAGGCAAGGCCAGGGGCAAGCCAGGAGGGCAGCCCCTGGGGTGGATCCACAGGGTCCATGGCCAGGCATGGATGCTCCTCCCGAGCAGCTTGCAAAAGGGCTGAGCTTCAGTGGAGCCTCTGAAGCAGGGATGGGACTGTGGGCTCTCAGGTGGGTCTGTTCAGGGCTGTTAATTCCCATGAGGACCCTGACACAACTGAAGCAAATCAATGAACATCTCCAAAGGTGTGAGTGATCCTGCTGTGACATTTGCTGTCTGAGATGTGTGAGATGGTGCCATCATCTTCCCTCCACTAATTCTCCCCAGGGATTGCTGAGAAAACACAGAGCAGCAAACTCCAACCAGGTGTAAATCCATCTCCTCCTCCCTTCCAGGGGCCAGAGGGAAACGCTCTCCCTCTCACTTGATATTTCCCCGGAGCTGGAAAAGAAATTCTCTGATTTCACAGAGAAAACTGCAGCCATCAAGGAGGCTCTGGAGAAATTCCAAGGTACCATGCGAAGGTCTAAAAAGGAAAATGCCATCGTGCTTTTTGTTGGGGAGGGATGGATTGAAGCCAGGGGAAAGAAACACATCCAACACAACATGGGCGCTGAATGAGGGGTTATTTCTTTCAAGATCCAACACTGAGATAGTGAATGACCAGCGAGCGTTGGTCTGCTGTTCCCTGCCTGTCCTCCTCTTCTTCTCCTCTGCCACCTCAAGTTTATCTACATTTTTCCCAAGCTTGTTACTGACTCTGGATTTTTGTAGAAACCCACCATCAGACCAACTGATCTTTCTGCTCTCGCATTTTTTTCTTCCCTCTAGACTTCCTGGCGTTGGAACTTCCCTTGACAAGTAAGTGAACCGAACGCGTGCCCAACCAAGCCATCATATGAGATCAAAAATACAGTTAAAAAAAGCTCTGCTTCCCTCAAAGGTTAACCTAAAGTGCTCTGCTGCCTTCTCCCACCCTTCTCCCATCCTGGTCCTACCACCAGGCAATGCCTGGAGGGGTCTAAACTGAGTCAGAGGGGTGAGAAGGGAGACAAAAATCCCTGTGCCCCCCAGATCTGCTCCAATGAGCCTGACTCTCTCTCCACCTCCAGCACAGATGACACTGGACCCGGAGACGGCCAACGCCATGCTTTATCTCTCAGAAGACTGCAAGCTAGTGTGGTTGGGAAGTCATGAGCAGGACCTGCCCTCCAACCCAGAGAGGTTCAAAGTCAATCCCTGTGTGCTGGGCTCGAGGGGCTTCACATCGGGGTGGCACCGCTGGGATGTGGAGATCTGTAGAGACGGTGTGTGGGCCACCGGGGTGTTCAAGGAGTCGGTTCCAAGGAAGCGTTTTTTGCCCATTGGTCCTGAAGACAACGTATGTGCTGTGTGTCATAACCGAGATGGGTACAAGAGTCTGATCTTTCCTACTGCCACCCCCTTGACTCTACGCAGTGTCCCCAAGCGGATAAGAATCTGCTTGGACTGTGAGAAAGGGAGGGTGGTGTTTTTTGATGCCCTGAGCAAAGAAAGGATCTTTGATTTTTCGCAGGCATCTTTCCAAGGGGAGAGAGTCTTCCCCTGGTTCCTGGTGAAGGCAGATGCTCAACTCAAACTTCTTCCCTAAGGCACAGGACAAAAAAAACCCAAACCTAAACCCAAAGCCATCAACTTACCCTTGGAATAGAAACCAGGGACTGGGTTTTGTCCCAGTTCCACCAAAGGGACAGGAAAGGGGAGTGGTGTTCACGTTCCTTTCCTTTAGTGCAAAATCCGAGCATTTCTGTGCCTTAAGTAATATTTTGATCCTTTAATTGCTAAATGGCGGTTCCTGGGTGCCTGCACTCTTGCACTGATGGGGAGTTAAAAATAAATGTAAAATTCTAAGTCATTTATGCCTTGTGTGTCTGCTTTTCCTTCGTTTTTTATTTCCTTCGGGTTTCCTTTGGAAATTGCTTAAGAGAACTGGAGGAAGAAAAAGTCATCCTGGTTCCTCTGGAAAACCCACTGCACAGGGAGATGAGAAACCTGCATTTTGTGCCCCCTCAAACCCAGCAAGTCTCTGGGAATAGATGTGAGGAAAAGTCAGCTGCAAGCCAGGAGCTGGAGTTATTTGCAGCTGGGTCCCATCCTGACTCCATGTGCAAAGTGGGGAGTCAGAATTGGCCAGAAACAGCTGGAAATGGGGGTGCTCCTTTTGGTGCTGGTTCAGGATGAGCCTGGATGATCTGGGCTTTAGTCAAGGAAGAGCCTGGACTTGTTCCTTGAGAAGATACAGCAGAGTCAGGGGTTCAGATGAGGGTCTGTCAAGTCCTTGTCCTGTCCCCAGAAGTCGATTCCTGGGAAATCAGATCAAAGCAGTGTGAAGATGGCTATGGCCCCAGGAGCCCTGTTTTCCCAGCCTCAATTGGTAATTAAACAATTTAAAGGGTATAAAGAGAGGCATGAAAGGATGTTGGAGTCCTCCCAAACAGCCCTACAGAGGCTCTCCTGAAGGCTGCTGAGGTCATTCCCAAGCTGTGGACAGGTCCTGTTCCCCCTGATATCTCAGAGGCATTTTCAGCTGCTGGTTGTCTCCCACCCCCAGCTGCACCACAACCTCTCTGAGGTGCCACTGGGGTGTGAAACTCCACTTCCAGCTGCTGTTGAGTCACCAAATCCATTGGACTCCACTGATGCGAAGGGGCTTTGGAGACTGAAAAATCCTGGTGCCTTCAGGAAAGGGTGAAAATGAGATGGCGGTCTCCAATTCCCTTCCTTCTCTGGACAGGTTGGATCGATGGGCCGAGACCAACAGGATGAGGTTCAACAAGGCCAAATGCCAGGTCCTCCCCTTGGGTCACAACAACCCCAGGCAGCGCTACAGGCTGGGGGCAGAGTGGCTGGAGCTGCCTGGCAGAAAAGGACCTGGGGGTGTTGGTCGACAGCAGCCTGAACATGAGCCAGCAGTGTGCCCAGGTGGCCAAGAAGGCCAACAGCATCCTGGCCTGTATCAGGAACAGCATGGTGAGTAGGGCCCGAGAGGTGATTGGCACTGGTACGGGGGACCCACCCACTGGTACCCACCTCGAGTACTGTGTCCAGGCGTCTCCAATTCCCTTCTTCCTCAGCTGTCGAATTGAAAATTCCCAGAGCAATCTAAGTTAATGTATTGTCTAAAGTCCTGCTGAAAAGGGGCTGGGTCTCAGTTTAACCAACAGCATAGAATCAGGAAATCTCTCTCTTCCTGTTCCTTCAAAATTGAAAGAAACTTGGAGACTGAAACTGCGACAGCTGCTCTTCATGGCAACCAGGACTCCTGAGGAAATCCTCCGGGATGAAGCCTGCTGCTCTGTCTGCCTGGAAATATTCCAGGACCCCGTGTCCATCCACTGTGGGCACAGCTTTTGCCGGTCGTGCATCACTGGGATCTGGGAAGGACTGACCACCAACTTCTCCTGCCCCCAGTGCAGGGAGACAGTGTCCCAGAAGAGCCTCCGCCCCAACTGGGAGTTGGCCAACATGATTGAAGCAGCCAAGAGATTGAACATGCAACGGGACAGAGTGGTGGAAGGAGGGGAGAACTTGTGCGAGGAGCACCAGGAACCCCTGAAACTCTTCTGCCAAGATGACAAAATGCTTATCTGCATGGTGTGTGACAAGTCCAAGGCTCACCGTAACCATTCTGTGGTTCCCGTGGGTGAGGCTGCCCAGGAGTACAAGGTGAGGGGGTTATGAGTGTGTTGAGGCACAAAGGTCCAGAAGGTCCTGGTATTGCTGCTCTTGATGGGTGGAGATACAGCTGTACAGTCTTTGGCCTGTGCGATAAACCACCTGGGGACTCACCAGTCCTTGCCTCTTGATACCAACTCTTGAGGTGGCATTGCCTGTCCTGAAGGAGGAGGTGGATGTAAGAGCACCACACTACTGGGGACCAAGGGCTCCTCTACGCCAGGGTTCAGCCAGAAGCAGGGGATTGGGCAAGGGCAAGAAACAGAGGTGTAGGATTTCTCACCACCACAATCCCTTGGACACATTTTAACCTCATGATTTGCAGTGCCAGGGGTTTCCTGAGCCTCAGCAGGGTTTGTTTATCCAGCATTTGTAAAAGGCTCTCTCCTCGGGGTGCGGGTCCCTGATCATGGTCAGCTCTGCCGAAGATCAGTAGGAAAGGAGAGAAAAAGATCCTCAGCCCTTCTCCCACCCCATAGTTCCCTGAAAGGCCTTGACCTTCATCAAAATAGAAAAAGACAAAAAATAAAAACAAAGGAAACAAAAGGACAAAAAATAGGAAAAAAAAAGAAAAAAAATAGGGAAAAACAGGAATAAAGGCGAACTAAATTGCCTTGAAACAGTCATGGGGGCCACAAAACTTTGACAACACTTACCTCAAGAGCCATCAAGAGTTCCCCATTGCTTCTGCTGAGGGTGCCAGACCATGATGCCATTCCAAAAGGGACTTCTTTCTTTTTTTCCTCTCAGAAACAAATTCAGACCCAACTGCACCTTCTGAAATCAGAGCAAGAGGAGCTTCAATCCTCCATGAAGGACAGGCAAGACAGAATCAAGGACCACACTGTAGGTGCCCATCAGTTTTCGTGGGCAGAGGGTGGGGGAAGAAAGGAGGAACATCTCCTCCTCCTTCTCCTATCTCCCAGGGGTGGGTGATGCTCAAAGGCTGAGGGGAAGAGAGAGGAGGTTTGTATCTTCCCCAAATGCCTCTTTTTGGTGGGTCTCACTAAGGCATGGCCCACCCTTCACTCTTGATGCTTTTGTCCTGCTCTCTGCTTCCCTTTCCCTGCTTTGTCTTGCCCTTGGCAGGAGAGGACAGAAGCTGCAAAGCAGGAGATTGTGAGGACATATAGGAAGTTGCACGAGCTCCTGGAGAAGGAGGAGTCCTCTTTTCTGGCCCAGCTGGAGCAGCTGGACAAAGAGATGGTGAACGCACATGAAGAAATCTACCAGAAGCTTTCGGATGAGACGATGAGCCTGGGCACACTGATTGGGGAGATGGAGAAGACATACCAGCAGCCAGACTTGGAGCTCCTGAAGGTGAGAGCCCAGGCTTTCAGAACTTGCTGTGAAGGCCTGGGATGAGCTTGGTCTCCAGCCCTTGCTTTTCTTCCCCAACCCGCTCAAAGAGGGACTTCCTTAGAGTGGGACCCTGGTATTCCAAGGGGAGGTATTTCATGTCACTGAGTCTCTTTTTCTCTCTCATCTAGGACATTGGAACCACCTTGAGCAGGTATGTGGTCCTTCTCCTGTCCCCATGTCACCACCACAGAGCAGCTCTGGGGCAGGACACTGGAAGAAAGCACGTAGGGACAGGTTGGCTGTTCTGCAGTACAGCCTTTGGACTTGACCAAAGCCACAGAGGGTTAGAAGGAGGGCTCTGCCTCTCTCTCCTTAATTCATGGTGAATTCAGACAGGGACTGGCAAGAGGCAAGGCCAGGGGCAAGCCAGGAGGGCAGCCCCTGGGGTGGATCCACAGGGTCCATGGCCAGGCATGGATGCTCCTCCCGAGCAGCTTGCAAAAGGGCTGAGCTTCAGTGGAGCCTCTGAAGCAGGGATGGGACTGTGGGCTCTCAGGTGGGTCTGTTCAGGGCTGTTAATTCCCATGAGGACCCTGACACAACTGAAGCAAATCAATGAACATCTCCAAAGGTGTGAGTGATCCTGCTGTGACATTTGCTGTCTGAGATGTGTGAGATGGTGCCATCATCTTCCCTCCACTAATTCTCCCCAGGGATTGCTGAGAAAACACAGAGCAGCAAACTCCAACCAGGTGTAAATCCATCTCCTCCTCCCTTCCAGGGGCCAGAGGGAAACGCTCTCCCTCTCACTTGATATTTCCCCGGAGCTGGAAAAGAAATTCTCTGATTTCACAGAGAAAACTGCAGTATTCCAAGGGGAGGTATTTCATGTCACTGAGTCTCTTTTTCTCTCTCATCTAGGACATTGGAACCACCTTGAGCAGGTATGTGGTCCTTCTCCTGTCCCCATGTCACCACCACAGAGCAGCTCTGGGGCAGGACACTGGAAGAAAGCACGTAGGGACAGGTTGGCTGTTCTGCAGTACAGCCTTTGGACTTGACCAAAGCCACAGAGGGTTAGAAGGAGGGCTCTGCCTCTCTCTCCTTAATTCATGGTGAATTCAGACAGGGACTGGCAAGAGGCAAGGCCAGGGGCAAGCCAGGAGGGCAGCCCCTGGGGTGGATCCACAGGGTCCATGGCCAGGCATGGATGCTCCTCCCGAGCAGCTTGCAAAAGGGCTGAGCTTCAGTGGAGCCTCTGAAGCAGGGATGGGACTGTGGGCTCTCAGGTGGGTCTGTTCAGGGCTGTTAATTCCCATGAGGACCCTGACACAACTGAAGCAAATCAATGAACATCTCCAAAGGTGTGAGTGATCCTGCTGTGACATTTGCTGTCTGAGATGTGTGAGATGGTGCCATCATCTTCCCTCCACTAATTCTCCCCAGGGATTGCTGAGAAAACACAGAGCAGCAAACTCCAACCAGGTGTAAATCCATCTCCTCCTCCCTTCCAGGGGCCAGAGGGAAACGCTCTCCCTCTCACTTGATATTTCCCCGGAGCTGGAAAAGAAATTCTCTGATTTCACAGAGAAAACTGCAGCCATCAAGGAGGCTCTGGAGAAATTCCAAGGTACCATGCGAAGGTCTAAAAAGGAAAATGCCATCGTGCTTTTTGTTGGGGAGGGATGGATTGAAGCCAGGGGAAAGAAACACATCCAACACAACATGGGCGCTGAATGAGGGGTTATTTCTTTCAAGATCCAACACTGAGATAGTGAATGACCAGCGAGCAGAAGGAGGGCTCTGCCTCTCTCTCCTTAATTCATGGTGAATTCAGACAGGGACTGGCAAGAGGCAAGGCCAGGGGCAAGCCAGGAGGGCAGCCCCTGGGGTGGATCCACAGGGTCCATGGCCAGGCATGGATGCTCCTCCCGAGCAGCTTGCAAAAGGGCTGAGCTTCAGTGGAGCCTCTGAAGCAGGGATGGGACTGTGGGCTCTCAGGTGGGTCTGTTCAGGGCTGTTAATTCCCATGAGGACCCTGACACAACTGAAGCAAATCAATGAACATCTCCAAAGGTGTGAGTGATCCTGCTGTGACATTTGCTGTCTGAGATGTGTGAGATGGTGCCATCATCTTCCCTCCACTAATTCTCCCCAGGGATTGCTGAGAAAACACAGAGCAGCAAACTCCAACCAGGTGTAAATCCATCTCCTCCTCCCTTCCAGGGGCCAGAGGGAAACGCTCTCCCTCTCACTTGATATTTCCCCGGAGCTGGAAAAGAAATTCTCTGATTTCACAGAGAAAACTGCAGCCATCAAGGAGGCTCTGGAGAAATTCCAAGGTACCATGCGAAGGTCTAAAAAGGAAAATGCCATCGTGCTTTTTGTTGGGGAGGGATGGATTGAAGCCAGGGGAAAGAAACACATCCAACACAACATGGGCGCTGAATGAGGGGTTATTTCTTTCAAGATCCAACACTGAGATAGTGAATGACCAGCGAGCGTTGGTCTGCTGTTCCCTGCCTGTCCTCCTCTTCTTCTCCTCTGCCACCTCAAGTTTATCTACATTTTTCCCAAGCTTGTTACTGACTCTGGATTTTTGTAGAAACCCACCATCAGACCAACTGATCTTTCTGCTCTCGCATTTTTTTCTTCCCTCTAGACTTCCTGGCGTTGGAACTTCCCTTGACAAGTAAGTGAACCGAACGCGTGCCCAACCAAGCCATCATATGAAATCAAAAATACAGTTAAAAAAAGCTCTGCTTCCCTCAAAGGTTAACCTAAAGTGCTCTGCTGCCTTCTCCCACCCTTCTCCCATCCTGGTCCTACCACCAGGCAATGCCTGGAGGGGTCTAAACTGAGTCAGAGGGGTGAGAAGGGAGACAAAAATCCCTGTGCCCCCCAGATCTGCTCCAATGAGCCTGACTCTCTCTCCACCTCCAGCACAGATGACGCTGGACCCGGAGACGGCCAACGCCATGCTTTATCTCTCAGAAGACTGCAAGCTAGTGTGGTTGGGAAGTCATGAGCAGGACCTGCCCTCCAACCCAGAGAGGTTCAAAGTCAATCCCTGTGTGCTGGGCTCGAGGGGCTTCACATCGGGGTGGCACCGCTGGGATGTGGAGATCTGTAGAGACGGTGTGTGGGCCACCGGGGTGTTCAAGGAGTCGGTTCCAAGGAAGCGTTTTTTGCCCATTGGTCCTGAAGACAACGTATGTGCTGTGTGTCATAACCGAGATGGGTACAAGAGTCTGATCTTTCCTACTGCCACCCCCTTGACTCTACGCAGTGTCCCCAAGCGGATAAGAATCTGCTTGGACTGTGAGAAAGGGAGGGTGGTGTTTTTTGATGCCCTGAGCAAAGAAAGGATCTTTGATTTTTCGCAGGCATCTTTCCAAGGGGAGAGAGTCTTCCCCTGGTTCCTGGTGAAGGCAGATGCTCAACTCAAACTTCTTCCCTAAGGCACAGGACAAAAAAAACCCAAACCTAAACCCAAAGCCATCAACTTACCCTTGGAATAGAAACCAGGGACTGGGTTTTGTCCCACTTACCCTTGGAATAGAAACCAGGGACTGGGTTTTGTCCCAGTTCCACCAAAGGGACAGGAAAGGGTAGTGGTGTTCACGTTCCTTTCCTTTAGTGCAAAATCGGAGCATTTCTGTGCCTTAAGTAATATTTTGATCCTTTAATTGCTAAATGGCGTTTCCTGGGTGCCTGCACTCTTGCACTGATGGGGAGTTAAAAATAAATGTAAAATTCTAAGTCATTTATGCCTTGTGTGTCTGCTTTTCCTTCGTTTTTTATTTCCTTCGGGTTTCCTTTGGAAATTGCTTAAGAGAACTGGAGGAAGAAAAAGTCATCCTGGTTCCTCTGGAAAACCCACTGCACAGGGAGATGAGAAACCTGCATTTTGTGCCCCCTCAAACCCAGCAAGTCTCTGGGAATAGATGTGAGGAAAAGTCAGCTGCAAGCCAGGAGCTGGAGTTATTTGCAGCTGGGTCCCATCCTGACTCCATGTGCAAAGTGGGGAGTCAGAATTGGCCAGAAACAGCTGGAAATGGGGGTGCTCCTTTTGGTGCTGGTTCAGGATGAGCCTGGATGATCTGGGCTTTAGTCAAGGAAGAGCCTGGACTTGTTCCTTGAGAAGATACAGCAGAGTCAGGGGTTCAGATGAGGGTCTGTCAAGTCCTTGTCCTGTCCCCAGAAGTCGATTCCTGGGAAATCAGATCAAAGCAGGGTGAAGATGGCTATGGCCCCAGGAGCCCTGTTTTCCCAGCCTCAATTGGTAATTAAACAATTTAAAGGGTATAAAGAGAGGCATGAAAGGATGTTGGAGTCCTCCCAAACAGCCCTACAGAGGCTCTCCTGAAGGCTGCTGAGGTCGTTCTGCTGTGGACAGGCCCTGTCCCCCCGATACCTCAGAGGCATTTTCAGCTGCTGGTTGTCTCCAACCCCCAGCTGCACCACAACCTCTCTGAGGTGCCACTGGGGTGTGAAACTCCACTTCCAGCTGCTGTTGAGTCACCAAATCCATTGGACTCCACTGATGCGAAGGGGCTTTGGAGACTGAAAAATCCTGGTGCCTTCAGGAAAGGGTGAAAATGAGATGGCGGTCTCCAATTCCCTTCCTTCTCTGGACAGGTTGGATCGATGGGCCGAGACCAACAGGATGAGGTTCAACAAGGCCAAATGCCAGGTCCTCCCCTTGGGTCACAACAACCCCAGGCAGCGCTACAGGCTGGGGGCAGAGTGGCTGGAGCTGCCTGGCAGAAAAGGACCTGGGGGTGTTGGTCGACAGCAGCCTGAACATGAGCCAGCAGTGTGCCCAGGTGGCCAAGAAGGCCAACAGCATCCTGGCCTGTATCAGGAACAGCGTGGCGAGTAGGGCCCGAGAGGTGATTGTCCCCCTGTACTCGGCACTGGTACGGGGGACCCACCCACTGGTACCCACCTCGAGTACTGTGTCCACTTTTGGGCTTCCTACCATAAAAAAGACATTGAGGTGCTGGAGCGGGTCCAGAGAAGAGCAACAAAGATGGTGAGGGGTCTGGAGCGCAAGTCTTATGAGGAGAGGCTGAGGGAGCTGGGGGTGTTCAGCCTGGAGAAGAGGAGGCTGAGGGGAGACCTTATTGCTCTCTCCAACTCCCTGAAAGGAGGGTGTAGAGAGGTGGGGGTCGGTCTCTTCTCCGAAGTCACAGGCGACAGGACGAG